TTCCTCCCTGGATATCATTTTCAAGATGGCTGAACCCACCTCAGCAAATCATTTTTAAATCTTAAGTAATCTGATTAATAAACAATGTTAAAAGCACTATTTTAAGTTATTTGAGGTTAATATTTCTAACAAAGAAAACATATGAATAGATATTTAATTGTATTTCTTTATTTAAATAGTGAAACTTCCACTCCCATATAATAGGCCTATTAGGGAATTTGGTCTAAGCTACCTGACACATTTGTAGCATAGAAATATGAAGAAAAGTTTATTTTATCTTCATAATAGATTGAAAATTAAGATTTGTTTATTATTTAGATGAATTGATACTTTGAAATGATTCACACACACAAAAATACTTTATTTTTTTAAAGGCCTATCCAATGACATTGACATCATAATGTTAATCATATTAGCAAGTTGTAGACAATAGTTGAAGCAGCACAATTCTTTCTAAATTGTAGGGATTCTATGAAAAGCTAATGCTACACTTAGCAAACAGAATATAGAATTGAAAGATACCCCCTATGCAAGAAAAACTCTTACTATAGTATACATATTGTACATTTAATATCAGATATTGATTTGCTATCGGAGATATAAAATAAATTAAATTTCTTAATGGACACATTGGTTCACCCTTCCATGTTCTACTTATTATTTTACCCCTTTTCAATACCAACAACTTGATATACATGACCCTATATTTTGAAGAATATTGGTCATGTTGTGTTCCTATTCAAATATGACATATGGAAACTTTACGGCCATTTGGAATATTAATGAGTTTATCTTGCGTACCGTAGAATTTATTATGGCCGGCACTATGTACACCGCAGCGGTGTACCTAGCAAAACTATTGACTTTGGTCTGCGTACACCGTGGCGGTGTACCTAGCTAAATCATTGTCTGTGGTCTGCGTACACCGCAGCGATTTAAAGTAGCAAAGCCATGGTCATTGCGAGTGTTAAACTTTTTGGCCTAACTGGTACTTGTAGATTTAATGTTATACTCTTGTTAAAACTGGAAACTATTTATTTAAAATTGTTGGGTACCTTGGGAGGAAGCTTTTGAGTAAGTTCCACGTGGCTAAGTACTTGTAGAGCATTTCTTACTTATTGGAAGGGAGGGGGCTGGGGGTGTGTAATGTTAAACCATGATTTATTTTTAAAGTTAACCACTTTATTTCCCCCCATATATTGAAATACAATTATATTTATTAATTATTAAAGTTTTATCCTATGATTGTGAATCTTAATAGGCATAAAAAGGGTAGCTAATTTGAAATTATTCTCCCC